CGGGGGGGGGGAAGTGCTTTATTGGCCGTGGCCCCGCCCCCCCCCAATTTTGGCCCCTCCCCCTTTAGGCCGTGGGGGGAGGGGCCCCCAAATCCCTGAGTCGGTGGGGGAGGGGTGGGGGAGGGGAGACCCCCCCCAAAAGAGACCCCAAAAACTGAACCGGCCCCTCCCCCACGGCCGGGACCCCCCAGGGACCCCAAAAATGGGAGGGGCCCCAGGGAGACCCCAAAACCTCTAAAGGGACCCCAAAATCCCCTATGGAACCCCAAAATCCTCTATGGAACCCCAAAATCCTCTATGGAACCCCAAATCCCTATAGGGACCTATAGAAACCCCACAGAGACCCCAAATCCCCTATAGAGCCCCTATAAACCCCATAAATCCCCTATGGAACCCCAAAATCCTCTATAGGGACCCCAAAATCCCCTATGGAACCCCAAAATCACCTATGGAACCCCAAAACCCCTAAAGGGACCCCAAAATCCCCTATGGAACCCCAAAATCCCTACAGGGACCCCAAATCCTCTATTGAACCCCAAAATCCCCTAAAGGGAACCCCAAATTCCCTATAGGGACATATAGAGACCCCACAGAGACCCCAAATCCCCTACAGAGCCCCTATAAACCCCCTAAATCCCCTCTAAACCTCACAGGTCCCTTATAGACCCCACAGATCCCCTATAGAATCTATAGGATCCCCTAGGTGAGCCAGGGCCAGCCCCATGGATCCCCTTGAAACCCCCCTATAGAACCCACAGATCCCCTATAAACCCTATAAACCCCATAAATCCATGATAAACCCCATAAATCCCCTATAGAATCCATAGGATGGCCTAGGTGAGCCAGGGTCTGATGCATTTCTCATAAACTCCCCTGTGGCTGTGCCAGGCCGTGTGAGGGACCCCGGGCACGGCGCAGCCGCCCAGAGCGCCCCGGGCCCAGAGCGAGCGCAGGCCGAACGTGTCCTGCAGGAACACCTGGAATGGGAAAAAAACCCTTAAATATCCCAAAAATAACCCTGAGAATGTCCTGAAAACATCCTAAAAATATCCTGAAAATATCCCCAAAATATCCTGAAAATATCCTGAAAATATCCCCAAAATATCCTGAAAATATCCCAAAAATAACCCTGAAAATATCCCAAAAATAACCCTGAAAATGTCCCCAAAATATCCTGAAAATATCCCAAAAATAACCCTGAGAATGTCCTGAAAACGTCCCCAAAATATCCTGAAAATATCCCCAAAATATCCTGAAAATATCCTGAAAATATCCCCAAAATATCCTGAAAATATCCCAAAAATATCCTGAAAATATCCCCAAAATATCCTGAAAATATCCCAAAAATAACCCTGAAAATGTCCTGAAAACGTCCCCAAAATATCCTGAAAATATCCTGAAAATGTCCCCAAAATATCCTGAAAATATCCCAAAAATATCCCCAAAATATCCTGAAAATATCCCAAAAATATTTTGAAAATATCCTGAAAATATCCCAAAAATATTCTGAAATTATCCTGAAAATATCCTAAAAATATCCCCAAAATATCCCGAAAATATTCTAAAAATATCCCGAATATATCCCCAAAATATCCTAAAAATATCCCAAAAATCCCCAAATCCCCTCCGGGCCCAGAGCGACCTCAGGCCAAACGTGTATTGCAGGAACACCTGGGCTGGACAAAAAAACCCCGTTAAAAACACCCAAAAATACCCCAAAATACCCTAAAAACAACCCCAAAAATACCCTGAAAAATTACTAAAACTTTCCTAAAAAATAACCCAAAAAATATCCCAAAAACCCTAAAAACACCTTTAAAAAAAACCCTTCGACCACCCCCAAAAATACCCCAAAAACCCCAAAAATAGCCCAAAATGAGACCCCAAAACTCCCAAATCTTGGAACCCAATCCCAATTTTTGGGGGCCCAATCCCAAATCTTGGATCCCATCCCCCTTTTTTGGGGTCCCAACCCCAATTTTCGGGGTCCCAGCCTCTAATTTTAGGGCCCTACTCCCAATTTTGGGGTCCCACCCCCCTTTTTGGGGTCTCAATCCCCAATTTTTGGGGCTCCAATCCAAGTTTTTGGAGTCCAAATCCCAATTTTGGGGTCCTAGCCCCATTTTTGGGGTCTCAATCTCCAATTTTTGGGGTCCCACCCCAAATTTTGGGGTCCCACCCCCAAATTTTGGGATCCCATTCCCCTTTTTTGGGGTCCCACCCCCAATTTTTGGAATCCCAATCCCAATTTTTGGGGTCCCACCCCAATTTTTGGGGGTCCCACCCCAAATTTTGGGGTCCCAGCCCGTTTTTGGGGTGCCCCTCACCGGCTGCGCCTCCATGTCCCGCACGGTCTCGTTGGCGTCGTAGAACCCAAAAAGGCTTCGGGGAAATTTTGGGGTCACCAGGGGGGACCCCGAAATTCGGGGACACCCCAAAAGGGCCCGGGGGGATGTGGGGAGGATTTGGGGATTTTTGGGGGGATTTTTTTTGGACTTTTTTTGGATTTTTGGGGTCGTTTTGGGTTAATTTTTGGTTAATTTGGGGTCATTTTGAGGTGATTTTGGGGAAGATTTTTGGGATAATTTTGGGTTGATTTTAGGGTGATTTTTGAGGTGATTTTGGGGTGATTTTTGGGTATTTTTGGGTTGATTTTAGGGTGATTTTTGGGGGAATTTTGGGGCAATTTTGGAGTGATTCTGGAGTTTTTCTGGGATGATTTTTGGGTTGATTTTAGGGTGATTTTTAGGGGAATTCTGGGGTGATTTTCGGTTTTTGGGGAAGATTCTCGGGGGAATTTCAGGGACGTTTCTGGGCGGGTTCGGGAAGGATTTTGGGGTAAATTCGGGCTGATTTCGGGGCGATTTTGGGGGTTTTTGGGGTCCCACCTGGACTGCCAGGGGGTGATGACGCCGTCGTCGGGGCCCCCGATCAGCAC